GGGCTCTAGCTTGTGGGCCTGGCACTGATTAATGGGTGAGGTGTGGCTCTGGGTGATTGGTGGCCCCTGCTGGGGAAACGTTTGCGTATCAAAGCATCAACGCATTGAGTAGGAGGAAGTGGTTACTGGATGAATGATTTCTGGGCTCGTTGTCGTTTCCTCGGCTTGTTCTCTTCAGTGGACCAAACATGTGGCCTTTGAGGATCCTGTATGTCCTGGTTTGAAGCAACCTAAAGAATTTGTTGGATGTAAATGCGAGGAGGGGGATTCAATGTTTTGAAGTCCTGAAATGACGTGTACCAGTGGAGCAATGTAAAACATCTTCTGAAAATAGCAAGTTCTGCTTCACATATTTTTCCACATACCATATCAAAAAGCAATTACCTCTAATGTTCAAAATGATGTGAAGTACAAGTGGTGGTAATTGGAGATTCAAAAGAATAGAAAGGGCTTTTAATTATAGGTTATGGTCTTAAGAGCACCTTGAAATGCTTGTTGAATTATCTAATAAACTTCTACTCCAGTTATAGCAATCACTGTATTCCCAATTGAATGTACTAGATATACACTTTCGCACATGAAGAAAATTGGAGTTTTGTCCTCTGTACCAAACAAAAAAAAATACAGTAAAGCAAGCTAAGCAAAAATTGCAAGCATTTTCAGATATCTTTATATTTATTCATATTCAACCAGGAAAATGCACAAAGGATAGTTATGAAGAAAAATACACTTTCCATCTCTGTAAGGCTTTGGTCTTGTCTGGGCAAGTTTAGCATTTTATTTTTAACCTGCTTCTAAAAACAATCAGGATCAAAAATGATTTAATGCAGACTAAGATATAATGACATGTACAGTTAATGCACAAGGCACAGTTCCATCGCACTGGATTTAATCATTCTTGTTCCATACTATGGACAAAAACAACAGACAATGTTTGGTACCAGAATCTGCATAGCAATAAACTGCACCAAATTTATTTAAATACAAAGTTGGCTAGTGCAACCCAGAATGCTGAAGTTATGTCAGCATTTGCAGCATATTTCTGACAAACACTGGTCTGTCAACCTGTTTATTCCCAGATTAAATTTTGGGCCTCCACCCACTGATGAACTGCATAAGTTTCTTGACTTGCAACTTGCTCAGCCTGAAGTCTTCTGACAAAATCTCCTCAGTCAGTTGTATGAGTAAATTCCCATCAATCTTTTCGGTGACAAACAGTGACACAACGTCTTCAGCAAGGCCTATAAAACGAAGGGACTTTGACACCTCTTCAATGGAGAGTCCAGTAAGGTCAGTCGGTGGCTGCCATGGTGACCCATCACCACATGATCTCGGTGCCAACTGGAGGTGTAGGGGTGAAGAGAAAGGATATGAAATAGAGAAGATGTCTGGCACGCCCTTGCTGTTTACTGACTGATCCTCCTGGTGGTCTGTGGAGATAATCTGAGCATCTTCCCCTCCACTGTTAACGGCCGACTTTAATGATGAAACCTCTGCCACTTGGTTTTCATCAGTCACTTTAGGTGCTCTTGGTGGCAAGATGGGACATGACACGCTTTGTTTTGCGCTACATTCTGCCAAAGCTTTGTCTGTGCATGAATCTAGGGAGTAACTTGCAGATTTGGGGCAGCCTGGAACCATGTGAGGTGTGTCACCAGTTTTAGAAGGCAATGTGCATCCTTCAGAAAGCTCACTCCCTTCGAAGTCGAAGGGTGCCGCGGGGTTGCCCTTTGGGGTACCTGGGGTCTTCTGCCGCGGATAGCTGTAATAGCTTCGACACTGAACCGGTAAAAAATCATTAATCCCATGAGAATCTCCTCCGCAGAAGTTGTTTGGCCATGAAGACCGGGAAGGCACACCTTCAAACGTTGGACTTCCAAAGGGGGAGAGTCTGTCGTTGTTGGTCGCATCAGGTTTCATCCAGTTACAGGGGTAACAGACGGGATTTTGTTCAGCTGGGTGTGTTACATCATTCTCTGTGACAGCACTAGGAAAGATAAAATCAAAAAGAGACAACAATAAAAAAAACAGCCTTATACCAAAAGATGTTTCGCAGACATTACAATCCTGACTCTTCCTTTACGTTTCTAAAAATCCTTTTACTAGTCTACAGTGGTAGTAACACATCACAGATAAAATCCTTATACACCCACTCCCTGGATAACGCTTGTTAGTTTTGTTTTAAAGTAACACAAGTTTTATTTAAATCAGAAGCAACCCATTCTTAGCCATTACATGAATACTGTACATACAGAGAATTTCCATCCATGACATTGCAGCGATCCGCACTTATTTGTTCTAGCTGTGTCACCAAGTGAGGAAGAAGGGACAGGAGAGCAGAGCTACAGGTTCACCAGGATTTATGGTGCTTTAAAGGTTCACAGGTGTGTGTGTGCTGAGCACAGGTTCACCAGGGTTTTTTGTCCTTTAAAGGTTCACAGGTGTGTGTGCTGATCACAGTGGGGAGTAGAGAGCAAGAGAGAGAATGTAGCAGCAGCTACCTCAGTACACAAAGTAAAGAGAGAAAGCAAGTAAACGTCCCTCATTTCTATAGGAGGAGTGAAATGAAATAATCAAGAAAAACATTTAAATCCCTATAATTAGAATAACTGAACACCAGCATACAGCTTACATCTTAGTAATTAAACACAACACAAAATACACAGTTAAATAATACAATCTCCTGGGTGTTATCCCGAAATAATTGCAGTGCAGGTTACGTGAAAGTTTCAGCTAAAACCTCTAGATAATATGCAGAATGTGCTACAGGTGCGCAAAACAGAGAATAAAGTATAAAACAGAGACCTGGTGGAGACTGCATTCCCCTGCTCCAGGCTATTCAAGGAAATCACTAAACGACATGCTCTTTAGATATAATGTAAACTTTCCGACCTGGGAACATTTTACTATAGGTCCCCATGAGATTTTACCATAAGTCTGAACTGATGTAAATTGTTTTTTACGTAACCCTGCACTGTTCAATATAGTGCTGATGCACCAGTAAAAACGTTTTATTAAGAGTAGCGGCCTACAAGAGGATTCCTGAGGATGACATATCTGTCTGTTGCTTGTCTTAAAACACAGCATCCCTTAATAACCGAGTTTGCTAACAATCATTTGTTGGAATGGAAAATACATCGATGTACATCGATGTGAAAGAACACTGGCCCAAGGAAAAAAAAATCAAATTTCAAAATTAGTCCTTAATTATGTTTGAAGACTAAATAACATAACCTAAAAACCGTATATAACCTGTAATGTTTCAAGGCAAATGTAAAACTATTAAAATAACAGTATATTGCCAAAAATGAAATCATGTCATGCACAGACTAAAAGTATCCCTACACTCTAACTTTAACTCATTGTGTCCACTTTTTCCCCTTGACTACAGCATGTTCACATTTCTTGAGCATGTACAGGGCAGTCCGTAAGTATCTGGACAGTGACACAATTTTTGTTGTTCTGGCTCTGTAGTCCTGCACATTGGATTTGAAATGAAACAATGACTATGAGGTTAAAGTGCAGGATGGCAGCTTCAATTCGTGGGTGAACCATATAGGAATCACATTGACATTTGGAATCACATTAGGACACATTAGGAAGTGATATGAACTACTCTCAAGAAGAAGTATGAAAGCAAAAACAATCAGAAGCATGGAAAAATAAAGCCACCCCCCACTGATTGAGTACTGTACTGTATATACCCGGTGAGAAGAGGGCACTCACATGTTGTGTAATCCAGAGGAGTAGTAGGACAGCGTGGGGCTCGGAGAGCGAGTCTGTTGCTGCCGGTGCTTGGTTGCACATGAAGGGGCAGGAGGGTTGGTGGAGGTTGGCTTGGAGCTCCGTGGAGGGACAGGGGGGGCATTAAGAAGTCTGCACTCTTCCTTCACCTGGGAACATATCCATCACACAGACATGATTAATTCATTTCATTCCCATACAGTAGTAACATCCATCCATTTTCTAAACCCTCTGTCCAGTGCAGGGGCGCGGGGAAGCTGGAGCCTATCCCAGCAAGCACCGGGCGCAAGGTGGGACACATCCTGGATGCGACGCCAATCCTCCCAGAAGTCAGCTAAACTTCCAGTGTGTGTTTGGATCGAGGGAGGAAACCAGAGCACCCGGGGGAAACCCAAATCACACAAGGGACGAACATACAAACTCCATGCAGACAGCACCCCAGCAACTGAACACAGGGCCCCGGCACTAGCATTGCTGCTTATACCCACTGCACTACCCATGTCATATACCAAAAGAAAATAGGTGCAGAAGGACACAGTAGAAACACAAAGAAGACAACACAAAACTAGGTGTTGAATAAGTAACAAATGGAAGCCGTTCTGCACTCATAGTGAAAGTGGTTCTTACGAACTTTCAAGAATTTGTTTTGGGTTTTGTTGGCCCATGAAAATACCAAATACACTAAACGTTCTTAGAATCCAAAAATAAAACTCTAACAGTGAATGTTATTGATGTTATGTGATGCTGTGAATGATGTCACCTGACCTGCTATCTGGCTGTAGCAGTATCCTGCTATCTAGAAGACTCAAGTTCACATCCTGTCTGGGATCACCTTTATTATTACAACTATATTCAATTTTAGACACTCCTATGTCCAGTACAGAGACCTGGAGAGAAACCTAACCTAAACAATATCACAAGGATCGGTATTATGACCATTATCCTTCCTGACTGAACACTACCACTAATAATAATAATAATAATAATTGCTTAAGCTTATATAGCGCTTCTCTGGACACTCCACTCAAAGCGCTTTACAGGTAATGGGGTCTCCCCTCCACCACCACCAATGTGCAGCCCCACCTGGATGATGCGACGGCAGCCATAGTGCACCAGTGCACTCACCACACACCAGCTCTCAGGGGGGAGGAGAGCAGAGCAATGAAGCCAATTCATAGAGGGGGGATGTTAGGAGGCCATGATTGGTAAAGACCAGGGGGAAATTTGGCCAGGACGCCGGGGTTACACCCCTACTCTTTTCGAGAAACGCCCTGGGATTTTTAATGACCACAGAGAGTCAGGACCTCGGTTTTACGTCTCTCCCTCTAACACTAATGTACTGTACACAAACACAGAGTAATGCAGGTAGCAAAAGCAAACAATAGAAACAAAATTCACATTAGTGAAAATTAAGCTTAAAAAAAGTTTTTAGGTGCAGCACACTCTTCTTACCATTTTAGACTTACATCATTTTAAGCCTTCTAGTCAATGTGGGGGGAAAAGCAAACAGAATACTAGGGTACATAGTTAAAAGCACAGACTTTAAAACAAGGGATATAATGTTCAAATGTATAACACATTAGTAAGGCCTCATTTAAAGCATTCGGTTGTATACAATTTTGTCCAATTCTGGCTATAAAGTCACAGAAAATAAGGCTGCTCTGGATTGAGTCTAGGCAAGAGCAACTAGACCCATTTCATTCCCAGGCTTAAAGGAATACACTGTCAGGACAAAAGAAATAAACCTTTTCAGCCTTGAAAAGAGAAGACTTTGAAAGGGACCTCCAGGTATTCCAAATTCTCAAAGGTTTTGACAAAATGACTTCTTAAGGATCCGCAGCAAAACATGGAGCTGAACACACAGGTGGAAATGACATAGAAGCGCATTAAAAACCAAGAACACGAGACAATTCTTTACTCAAAAGGGGAGTTCTAGGAGACAGATACCTTGGCTCCTTCCAGCAAATGCTGGATGAGAACTTTGGATCAATTATCTATTAGATATGATGTGTGCCTCCTTCAGATGAGAATTTATAGCAAGGTGTTGTCTACTTGGTTATTAAACTTCCTTGGTACTGTTTATAAGTAGGAGTGTTAACTCTGGTGTCCTAGCCAAACCCCACTCTGCATTTGCAAGATCTTGCTTGCTCTAAAGCCCCCTTTAATTCCATCCATTTTCTAACCATTTTATCCCAATACAGAGTCGCAGGGGAGCCAGAGGCTATCCTGGGAGGCAACGATGGATACCAGTCCATCACAAAGCAGATGCTCACACCAGGACCAATTCCCCCTGAAGCACATTAAGCTATTGTACCTGATCTCATTGTAAAATAGCTGTATTAAAGCTTCTATTTAGCATTTAACACGGTTATTCGTACATCCTGTAAGTTAATATTTGAAGTCAGCTACTTGTTTTCCATTTTCAATAGCATTTGAAACTAACACTGTGGTAGAGGTTTTGGGCCCTAGAAATATAACATTAAAGATGTGGAAGGGTAACAAAGGGTTTCATTTCACTGCTAAGTTGAGAACAAATGCAAATCAAAGGACAAAAATAGCCAAATATGCAATTCAGGAAACCCAAGAAAACAAAAACAACTGCCATTTGTCCGTTACAACTTTCTGTAATAATATGTTTGTGCTAAATTTCAAGAAACCTGCAAAAATATAATATGCAACACTGAAACAAGAATACATAACTCATCTGGACATAATGTATTTACACCACAAACTTCTTCATCGCAATGAGCTGTTCATTTACTGTATTATACCAGGTAAATCAATTGAGAACAAACACTAATTTACAGACCATAATAACAAGCTTGAGCAGAATTAAGTGTTTTAGGTACAAAAGCAGCATCCCATCTGTAAACTAAATCCATGATCCTCAAATCAGAAGTCCAGAATTCTAACTTACTATATGTCACAACCGAAGCATACTAGACATTATCAATGCACTGGCACAAAAGCCATGTGCAGTAATACAGACCACCCAGCAGCTGATGCGTTGATGTGTTAGTAACCTTCTGTGTGGTATTATGCTTTTATATTTGATGACTAGAAGTCACTCCAAGCCCTTGTATCCTTCTGAGGAATACTTGCGAAACAATATAATATCTTTGGCATACTCAAACAATTATGAAACTAATATCAGCATCTTCATATGGTATTATGGAAAATTTGATTGCTTTAAGTCATTCTTTGTTTTTTTCAGTCCTTAAAAAGAATCCACCCTTTGGTGAAGTAGAGTGTATTTTGTTATCAAGATGGTCCATTTAATTTAATATATGTCCACACAGAATTCAAAGTGTTCATGTTTATTTTTCCAAAACTCACCTGCCTATGTTATGAAGATTTTTCTCTTAGTTTCCTACTCAGAGATGTACAAAATTAAATGTGTCACCACAAGGTGAGTGCTGATTTCTTCATGGCTGCATCCAACTGCAGGAAGTTTAAAAGTGAATGCAGCTGTGCAACTACCACATTTTGATCAAGTATGTTGACACCTTGTGCGCCATTTAAAACAATAAGAGCAGAGCTCCACTAATTTGCAATCTTTCTAATGTTCTTAAGCTACTATGGCACATTTTAATTTGTTATATTGTTCACATGGGTTTCCTCCTACAGTCCAAAGACATGCTGGTAGGTTCAATGGCTTCTGGGAAAACTGTCTCTGGTGTGAGTGTGTGCGAGTCTGTGTCTGTGTGTGCCCTGTGATGGACTGACATCCTGTCCAGGGTGTATCCCACATTGTGCCTGTTGCTTGCCAGGATAGGCTCCAGCTTCCCCAGTACCCTGTATTGGATAAAGCAGTGAGGAAACTGATGGGTGGATATGAGAAAACGTACATTTAATACTGTACAAAAGCAGGAAATGCCTGGATGTTTGTAATTCTGCGTCTGCTTTTAAATTTAATTGAAAATGAAAATGAATGAGGCAACGGGGAATAAAATGATAGAAACAAGCAGCCATTTCTTGACAGTTTTAAAGGCAGCACTTCTCTCAAATTTACTTACAGCTTCAGACTTCGGAGGCACTGGAGGTGGAGGTAGACAAATTTCAGAAACCATGACCGAGGCCGAGGGGCCCGAGACAGGAAAGGGAGGTGACGTCGAACTCTTTGACCTAATGGAGCTCCTGTTGCCATCACACTTGTTCTTTTCGGCAGCAGAACAAGGCACAGTCTGTGCAGCAGACCTGCCCTGGTCCAGCCACAGCTCCTCGTAAGGAAGCTCCGACTTCGAAGGAACAGATTGGCCCGGTTCCTCGGTCATTTCGGGGAAATGATAGTCACTCCCGCTGTCGCCCGAGTCCGAATAGTGCACAGGGTCGTGAGAGAACAGAGCCCAGTCGCCGCACAGATTCTTACATCCCTGCAGGTTGACCTCGCTGTTGCCGTGAAGGTTGTTTCCATACACACAGACAGAAAGGCGGTGGAAAGACTGAGTCAGTTCGTCTCGTGCGTAGCTCAGGGAGCTGGGCACGTGAGAGTGGCCTTGGCAGCCGCCGCCGCCGCCGCCGCCCCCGCTCTTCTTTGGGCTCTTACAGTCTTCGTTCCAGTCCGCCCTCACGTCCCGCACGGCCCGCGAGTAATCGTCGATGTCGAACTGCTCCTGGCAGTAGGCGAACCAGCGATGCACCAGGGTCTCCAACCAGGGCTCGTTTTTCAGGAGGCCCTCCGGGACGGTGAACTTGGGCACGGCCAGGTGCAGCGGGAAGTGGGTGGGGACGACTTTGCTGCTGCGCAGGATGCAGCAGACGACCACCGTCTTGGTCTGGATGTTGACGAACTTGTAGCGGTGGCCCTCGCGGATGAGGTGGAGGTCGTGCTGATTCCTGGGAGGGGCGCTCGGCACGGTGACGTTGACGGGCAAGCGGGTTTTCTCCACGATGTTGCGGATGGTGTGCTCCCCTTCCTGCATCTGGAGCTCCAGGGGGCTGCGCGTGCTGAAGCGCCCCTTGCACTGGAACGGCAGGCTGATGCTCTCGTTGGTCCGGTGGTTCATGCAGATGAGGCAGGGCATCTTGCCGCGGCCCAGCTTGCCGATGGAGTTCAGCTTCCCGATCCTCTTGAAGATGGTGTTGAGCCTGGACTTCTCCCTGGACGTTTTGGCGTACAGGATCTCTGCCTGGCCCATTAAAGTTAACTCATCCCCAGTGCACAGGGTGATGTTGTAAACTTCAGTGTCCTCGTTGCATTCCCCCGATGCCACCTAAGCAAGGGAGAAAGACACAGAAGAAAGGACAGGACCGGTGAGAGAGAACACTCCGATTTTAGATATGTTTAAAAGACGATAATAATGTGCAGAAACCTTCTTCAGAAGTCAAGTCAATCATATTCTAACGCAAGACTTAAATTTGCAACATCATCAAACTTAATGGCTTCAATCACTGAGCTTTAGAAAGACAAGTCAAAATTTAAGATTGAGCTTGAGTTTATTCTTAAAATAAACTCTAGCTCAATGTTTTATTCTAGGAAAAACACCTAGCAACGAGCTATTACTAGGTATTTTTCCCAATATTATTTACTTAACAGTTTTCTAAGGTTTTTCAGACTCCTTTGTCTATTTAGTGTTGCTGTTGTATGGTTTCCTGATAGGAAGCCAACACACTTTTTATTACTTCCTGCATACCAATTCAGGAAACCACTGAGAGCTGAGCAACACACAACCTTAAGAACATTTCCCCATACCGTCTTTAAACAATCTTCCCCATACCTCATCTTTATAGAGCAGGCAGAAAGTAAGTCTGCCTAGTTCATGATACACTTCTTTTATATTCTATCAAGAAAGTACAGCTTCTAAATGGTAACAGCACATTTTAAAGAATACATATTTAAATGTAGGTAATTGTCTTTTAGGAAGCTCAGTTTACATATCTTCACATTTAAAAGTTAAAAGTTAGTTCAACAACCTTTCTTTCAAAATTGTCCACAATGTGGCAATTATATTTAAACTATAACTTGGTATAACTATAGTATAGTATAACAGTATAACTATATCAGCTATGACTCCTTGTTGCCTTAATTAAAAGAGCAGAAATCATAAATTACTAAAATTAACATCCCTGAACTTTAAAAAGAAGCAGGTTGTTCTTCAATTTCACTGGCTTAACATGTTGAAAGCTACAACATGTTGAAACTGTATTTAGAAAAACATTTAAAGAATATTATTCTCTTCTTTGAAGTACTGAATTACAGTACTTGTCACAAAAAATTAAATAGATCTTATTCATCAGCAAGAGAATGGAATTTAAGCAGAAAGTGTCAAAATACTTAAAGAACTAACCTGATTAAAAAAACAGCAGTCAGCACAGTCTTTTAATTGAAACATTAAGGTTAAAATGCAGGGGGAGGTTATCAATAGGTTTCACTGATGGAATTCTGCTGTATAAAACCTGTCCAGTGAAGACCACAATACACCTCTGTAGTGTTTCTCTGCAAGTCCACGCAAGAAAAGAAACACGTGGAACGAGCTTCTGTTGTAATAAAACAAAGTCACGCAGCTTGACATTCCAGCAGAGGGCGCCAAATGCTGTGTTTCTCTTTCAAAAACATCCATACACGTATTCAAATGGATAAGCTGTATTGATATCATAAGACGTGTTTTTAAAAAAGCAATACATTTTGACTACATACATGTTCATGACGTACAGAAGGCAAGATAAATTCTCAAAATGTTCTGAAAAAACACACAATGGTATTTAAATGATACACAAAGGAATCCACACCTACGCTCACCTTACAGAACCATAAACACCGGTGCCCCAACCTGTTCTTATCACTAAAAACGGGACTGTACAAAAAGACACTATTTAACCCGCAGTCAGAGAAAGGACGTCCGAGGAATTTCTCGCTGTTGGAAAAAGCACTGCTTTTTTTAAACTGTTTTTAGTTTTGGGGAGAAGGGGAAAACCACCAACATTTTATTCAACGCTTGACAGTTCATCTTCAGAATTTAATTTTACGTAGTTTAGATATTACAGCAGCAGTGCGACTCCCAACTCACACCTGGAAGGTCATGGGGTTGAAAACCTGGGTGTGGCACTGTTGTTATACTATACCTTTAAGCAATTACTTCACTCGGATCGCTTCAATAAGATACTCAGCTGTACAAATGTAAGTTCTTTTGTATAAATGCATCAGCCAAATAAATTATTAATATTAAAGTGACTGTAAAAATCCACAGTACACGGTTCCTCTGTGCTTCACCGAGTTTATTCCATCAACAGTACATCAATACTAAATTAATAATAGTCTAAATTAAAAGGCATGGATGTATAACTATTTATTTAATGATTGCTGGGGCAAGCAAAATTGTAAGGGCATATTTTCCCAGGAAGAGAAATGTGAAAAGCTTAGCACGGGCCCTAATTCTAACATGATACAAGCACGAACGCAAAGCTATAATAAAGCACACCTGCAGTGCACATTTGAACACATTTCAGTTAGTCATAGCATATATATTCATTTTTTTGTCAATTATTTTTCAACCAAGGGCAATCTACAAGAAAACAGGCTAAGCATCAAAGATAAAATTCTATAAATCAGACTTGGTAAAGGACATTATTATTAATGTCATTCAATCCTGAGAGACATTACTGAAGTCATAAGAGTCCATATTCCATGAAGAAATGGGCTACCTTCCCTGAACTAATTATTAAATGAAAAGCTTTTGGATAATTATCGCAATCATGATGGCACTGTTTTTTTTACCTAAAAATGTCAACCCGGAGTATACGTACTATACATCCCAACTGCTGAACCTGGTATAAAATATCACTCTATGGTTTCATATGTTTTAATAAATATTTGCTTGTCTCTTTCAAATATATAAGCTGGCAGATGAGAACACTGGCATTTCAGAAAACTCCATCAGCAGTGTGAACATACTTTTTAATGACAAAACAGCTTTCCAGCTGACCTGAGGGCATAATGGACAGTCTTGAACCACTGGAAAAGAAAACATATCATACTGTATGTGCAACAGCTCTGGGCATGATACTACAGCTTTTCCACCATTCCAGACAAGGCCATTTAAAAAATGAAAAGCCAGCACAGCAGGGCGATGACTAGCAGTACAGATGACATTGAATGTTGAGTGTTTTGACATTGGATGTTTGTCACTGAATTCCACAGACTGCAGCAGTATTCTACACAGAAGATGAACACACATTACCACACACTGATACTGCTTCACTCTTTGCCCCATTAAAACATCAGTGGGAGCTGTCTTGGGGTTCAAATTAAAGAAAGTAAAAGGAGAACAGGAAAATCCATGTCACTGGCATATCATTTAATAACCATTTAAATGGAAAAGGACTTCATATGGGAATAATAACACCACCAAATAATATTTTGATGGATTCCATTTCCATAAATTGATTCTGAATGTGCTTTTTTAGGTTCTAGTTCTGTGCCTGTGTTTAAGAGGATGAACTGATTAGCACACCTGCTGCAAACCTGTAATAATGGAATATTTATTTCCTATTCCACCTATTCCCAATTAGTGGGATGCATACCAGTATGAGTATGAGGGATCGTACTGTTTGCATTTCAGTAAAACAGATTTTAGACACTCTAATATACTGCAAAGTATAGCTACCATTACTTTTAAATTGACGTAATTGTCATTTGTTCTTTTTCTGATACCTTCCAAAGGAAAAAAAAAACAATGGAGTTTCAGCTTAAGAAGTCAATTAACTGATATTTGTAATTCCAATCACATATTTCCCTAAGGCCTGCAATGCCGCATATACAGTATTTCATAAATTATCTGTGCCTATTCCCAGTTAAAAAGTACGTAAAAGTTTACACTGTATTATAGTACATGGCATGTGACACAGAATTCTGCCTTGAGCCATTTCTGAAGGTTTCCGGCTTCACCTCCAAACCACCTCATACATAGAGTATTACTGTACCTTAGGTAAAAAATGAAACCTTTGATCACATTTACAGTAAAAGAGGAAACAAGTCAATCACTACCCTGTTCTCCCACTTTGCAACACCAAATGTTTTAGTCCTAACTCAGCCCTTTTTTCAATAATAATCCCCTCAAATCAAATAAGCTTTCACTGAACAATTTTTAGCCCGACTAAAAATATAAATATAAGCCCAGTACCGTCCACTGCAAGGAGACGATGCAATGATCAAGGTGTAAGACACTCCCAAGCTACACCAGAGAAGTTACACACAGATGTGCTAATCTGCCTTTCAACTGTGGAACAGACAGTATACCACAGGCGGTTTTTCCTGATGCGAGTTTTAATTGCACATTCTAGATGGGTGCATCGGTATTTTTTCCATGAGACTGCAAAGTACCCCCTCTGGTGGTCTCAGTTTAATGTGCCCTTACAGTCCAGTTTCAAGGTAACCAATAAGATCTAACTGCCCAGTATAAAAGTGTCCATAAAACACTCTTTTCAAAAAGGTCTGGTGTCAGTTTACAACCTAAATGGAGGCTTGGCTCTGTGTAATTTCAATAGTTCTAGAATGATCCACCATTTTGTTTCGCCTGGGCAAAAGCTAATTTGGCTATTTTTATTTTAAATACTGTATTTAAAAAGATAACCCAATCACACCTACAAACACCACAGACCTGTATTTGTGGTGTTAAATGTGTAAGAAGATTTTAGAAAAATTAAATGTTCTGTTTTGAAATAAATGATTAAGCTGTGTGTGGAGAGGTCAATATGAATGAGATCCCTTAAATGTTCTTAGAAAATTCTGTAATGCTATATATACGGTATTTGTTTTACAAAACTATTTTTGGGATACATAATTAATACAGGAAAAATCACAAATAAATCTTTTCACCTAATCAGAGTAGCACATTTACTGTACATACAGTGTAGTAATAGTTGTACAGTATGGTGGTCCTGTAATCTGTAATCATCAACCTACACACACCTGAAGAAGGCACTACAGAACAAAAGGAAAAAAATGTATTTCTCCTTTCTATTACTTGTTCCTCAGGAGCCAACACATGCAGACACAGCACCTCACCAAAAACTGGAGACACATACTTTAGTTTCCCAATTGTTACATAAGCAGTGCCAAAACTTGATTCCGTGCCAAAAAGTTTCTAACAACAAACAAAAAGCCTTCACATGGGACAAGAGTAAATGGCATAAAAAACTTTGCAAACCCAGTTAAACTGACCATAAAGGACATCAAAGAGATTTGTAGAAGTATCACAAAGTTAATTTTTATATAATACGACCGAACAGATACAGCAAAGACTGTTCAGATCTATCACGGCCACATAAACCATCTCTGAAATGGGCTCTCAAAAAGGCCTCAACAACTTGTGGAAGACCTGTAGAACAAGCCAGAAAACAAAACAGACAATTCAGGAACACCCCTTCACAAGAAAACTATCCAGTACAAGGTCACCTGAATCACAGAAGGGCCAGTGGAACCAGGTACGAAGTCACTAAGATGTACAGTAAGTCTTCCCTCAAGAGAAGTGATAAAATGATGTCAGACCATGACCAGTCATGCCTCGTTACATTCTGTGATGGTATTCCATGGTCTGAGGAGTCTCAAGTTAAATTTTTAAAGCAGACACCAAGCAAAGTCACAAGACATATTACTGCATGTACTGATGTTTACAAACATGGGACAGCAATTTCACATTTCAACACGAAGCAGCCTCGTCTGCTACACAAACAGTTCCAAAGGGTTAGTGCCTCTGACAACGGGAAGGAACTGAATGAAAGCTGCTGCCTACAATAAACCCAGTAACTCAAACTCTTTGCTTTCAATGAATAATGTTTCCTCATTTCACAGAACAGATACTGACACCTCATGCCAAGCTCTTAAAACATTTGAAATTAAACATTTAAAGCAGTGTAAGGATTATTATCATTAAGGTGTAAGGGTGAAGGTGTACTAACCTAGAATTATCTACTTTGTGCAAATGAATTTTTTTAATAAAGCCACTAGTACAACTAAACATATCACTACATGTTCATGCGCAGCAACTTCCAAAGAGTGGTGACAACAAAAGCTCTAGAAAAGCTTTAAAAAGCTGATCGCTGTAAGAAAGCCAAATCTGTTTTCAAGTAATTCTCTACTCCCTTAAATAAATAAGAACAGTGAAAGCAATGTAGCTTTATTTAAAGAAATGTACAGTATTACAGAGTATATACACTGATTGTTGTAGAGTAAATTTGTATTTAAAGATACGAATGCAAATATCATTCTGACTGCTTCATATTATGCATCTGAATTAGGATATGGAGAATGGTGAACATGCAGCTTTGACTGGAACGTATTTATATCTTGTGTGTTTGAATGTGAGGCTGCTCACAGGCTGAAGTTAACACACATTATGTAAGATTATATAATCCCATCGAATTGACTTCCACAAAGTGCAAAGTGCGTGACGTAACATGCAAATGAAACAGATATTCCTCTCTGATTTCTAGGTACAGCCACTTCGGAACTTTAAGAGCACAAAATACTTGCATGTTTGGTACAAAGACATATCAGAGCCAATCCTTAACAAAAAAGCTAACATGAGGCAGTTAAACATGAGGCATATATGAAATATTTAAAGAAGAAAGATTACTGAGGATTCTACCGAAAATTAGATCTTAAAGTATGGAACGTTAATAAGAAATAACACATTGACATACTATTATACAGTATCAAGATAAAATGAAGTCTTTTAAAAATGAACCGTTTCAGATTTTGTGGTTGAGTAAACCACAGAAAACAAGTAGTAGCTGAAGGACATGAGCATGAAATCAGAACTGCACATTTACAGTGCTTACAAAACACGGCAATGAAACTGAAGACAGCCCCCTGCTGGTAACGCACAACCTTCTTTTTAGAGATAAAAAATAATTCGCCACTCATAGCATTTTCAGCTTTATTTAAACTCCCATCAGAAACAGGGTGAGACGAACACATGCAGCTCTCAAGACTTCAGCTGTGTAAAAGATATCTCATAGAAAATCACGAACAGACTCTCTTACATAGGCCTGGACATCAAACAGTTGTCACTTCATTCGTTGATTCTTACCAATTACCAATCACAAATGACTTTCCAAATCCTACAGTTAACAAGTGCCTTGCACTCATTGAGGTCACGCAGTGGTCAGCATCGCTGCCTTGCAGCACTGGAGCTCTTGGTTCAATTTCAGACCTGGGGTGCTGTCGGTGTGGAGTTTGTATGGCCTTCCTGTGTGCTCCAGGTTCCCCCCAAAGCAGGATCACACATCAAGTCTCCCATCTATTTTATAATGGCTTTATGACCGGCTAATTCAGGGTCGCAGGGGAGTCGGAGCCTATCCCAGCAAGCGATGGGCACAAGTCCATCACAGGGCACTTACTGATAAAAACACAGACACACTCTCACTCCCAGAAGCCCATTAACCTACAGTACCAGTATGTCTTTGGTCTTTGGGAGGAAACCCATGAATCGAATCTAGGGCCATAGCAACACAAGGCAGCAACGCTGACCACTGCCCCCACCATGCCACCCCAGGGATATACAGCACCTACTAAATATTTGAAATCGAAAGGTTTCTAAAATTAGGGCCATAGAGTAGATGAACCAGAGAAAATGGACATTTAGTTGTGGACACCAGGAACGGCTGCAACAGGCTGAGAACAAGCGCATAGGAGCACAGGAAGTCAAATCAATGACAAGGGTAAATGTTCGAAGAGCGCTGTTTAAAACATTTATAAACAGGTCTCCCTCATTTCACAACAGTTAAGTAGTCTGGCTGGGAGCGGCCACATCCTCAGAGAGGGCGACTGTTATTCCTAGAAAATAGTTTTTCTTTTTTTCCTTATTCAAGATGAAGGAAATTTATAACTCTTTCAAATGAACACCAACACAAACGCTTGCAATCATGAGAAACCTACCATACTGACCAAACACTGGGTTGAATAACCGAGTAGAAAGGGGAATTAAAACAACATATACAGTATGGACATAATTTCACTAAGAATATTCACCATAAATTTTATAAATAAATAAAAAATTTAAAAAGTGCGGTGCAGTGGCTCTGTGGCTCAGGATCTGCGCCTTGTGGCTGGAAGGTTGCCGGTTCGTATCCTGTGGCCGGCAGAGGAATCCTACTCCATTGGGCCCCTGAGGAAGGCCCTTAACCCCACCTGCTCCACGGGTGCTGTACAATGGCTGACCCTGCGCTCTGACCCCCAGCTTCTCTCCCTGTCTGTGTGTCTCATGGAGAGCAAGCTGGGGTCTGTGAAAAGACACATTCCTAATGCAAGAAATTGTATCTGGCCAATAAAATGATCTTATAATCTTATCTTATATGGGCCATGGCCAATGGTCCTGTTTGTGTTTAGCATGACAAGAACTCAGGTCTAAGAACAAGAAATGTGTTGATTTAAGTTCAAACTGTAATTTTTGCAGCAATTCTTGCACAGACCGAAGAGCAATAAACAGCCACACACACCCGTAAGCTGAGTGCTGTTTCTGTAAGTGGAACTGTTGCCAAACACTGAGTTTCGGTGCAGTATATGTCCCATTGACACTTTGGCACCATTGGTCCCAAGATAAATCAACCAAGAAATAAAAATCCTTTTGTTTAAAAAAAATGCACTCTGATTTGAGGCCTTCAACACGCATCTTTCATAGGCGCTCGCAAATATTGGTTCTTCATCCTAACCTTAACGTTGAATGTTATTTCCTCCATGACATAAACCCGCTCAGGAAAGGCCTTGGCCACCTCCTCCACACTGTTGAAGTATTGCACTGGTTCCTTTACATCTCGGTCCTGTTCCAGCAGCTTGAACTGACCTACAGGGGAGAAACAGGAAAGAAATGTCACATTTTACCGACGTGAAAGAGCTTCACTGACGACACCGTGCTCTGTTGTTTACTTCCAGGGGTGCACTTGTATAGTAAATTCATGCGTAACAAGCAGCTGTGCTTACAGTAAGAGCACGCGTTACAATACTGTACAATCGCTGAGGAATAAGATCCCTTTTCCTGAAAAAAAAAGGAATGAAGTGGGTGGGTGGGTGGTTGGATGGGGAGTTTATTTGTAATGGTGGATGTTTCCAAAAAATACACTGTCACACTCATTTCTTACGATACCAGCATGATTGGTCCCAAGATTTCTACTCAGAGGTGGAAGCTCATAAAAGCCACATTAAATCCCACTAAAATACAAGTCTCCAATTGCTTCCAAGTGCTCAGAAATGGACATAAATCAGTTGAGTTTAGGTACTTTCTGAGCTATGTGAATAGTGGGCATGATAAATTCCTAAGAATATGTCGCCACCAGCAGAATTTAACAATACTCCTTTTTTATGCAAGCTGTTAGGTTGAAACGGATTGTGAAGCAGATATGTAGAGGAATAAAATGTGCACAATCTCTATACTACGCGTGAGCAATAAGTATGACATGAACTAATCACATTTCCTACTCAACAAAAAATGTCCATTACGTTAGATAAGTCTTGTGCAAAGACTGAATAAAACCCATTACTCTAAAAGTAAGACTGGTGATATCGATATTACTATATTACTTAGCTCGTCTTAGCGGGAGACGTTCACTCATCTAACAAAAACAGGCATGTGTATGAATCGCTCATTTTACAGAGTACCTGTAAGTAAAGTGGCTGCTTAATGAGATATGAGCATACTAAAAGCATAACTATAAAATTGCAAATAATCCATATATATATTGAATTAGACACTTTATGCATGTGTGTCTATATATAGTACAGACACATATTGTGTAGTCTCTGAATCAACTACCCAGGTGTACAGTTTCTTTCCCTTTACAATGAGAGCGGAGGAGGTGACATCAGCTGTATTCTGTGTGTTAATCGCACCATATAGGCCCCTAAACTTAAGAGACGACAAGTCACCACCCAGTTTAGAAAGAAACCTGCTGGCATGTATCTGTATGCACAGTCTCTTTCAGTCATCGTTCTCTGCCCTTTGACCTAGCCTGCCGCACAAATGGCAGCACAATGGTCTAGTCTGAAATACACATGAATGCTTACGTCATGCAATGCATGAAGTGCAACAGCTAAACTCTATGGGTAATGCAAGTCATGTCTTTACCATTAAAGAAATGTAATTACAGGCTGCAGCTATTAACTGACAGGTTTTATGGACAGCAACCAACTGCCCCTTGTCAGGATCAATGCAGAAGGCACCAGAACGAACAGTCACATGATGCTCATTCCTTTAAAAAACAACATCTGCCATACTCATCCACACAACACCTTGCCTGAATTATTCAAGAGCTGCTCCCAGTTCTGAAAGAATATTAATCCTTATTTTATTAAAAGCTCCACAAAGCCTGGTCAGCATCTTCAATGGAGCATGGCGCATGGGCTTTCTGTAGGACCAGAGCTGGCCAAACATTCTGTTGAGGGCAGCTCTCTTGTGCCCTTAGAACTAGACAATGTTTTTGCTTTACGCGACCTGCTTCATTTTTCAGTGAGGCCAGACTTTTCTAAATTCCAATTACAAAATTCTATAAGGGAATATATAAACATCTATAGTTGTGTTCTGTCAAAACACATTTCATATGCTAAAAATGCAACTTCACGTTTTGTATAACATCCTGTATAATATTATACCAACTTGCATAACATCTGTGTAGCCAGTTCAGAATTAGTTACAAAGGAAAAGAAACTTGTGCCTCCTGATAATACAATACTCCATTCAGGAGCCCACCCCCTCCTGTTAGGGAAGAACAAGATGCATTGTGAGTCCTTAACTGTTTAAGCATCCACTGCAACATCTGTTTTTTCCATTATTGCAATCTACATATTCTATAGATGAAAAACTACCGAAGTTAGAAGCCAGCCGTGTGTATAGTGTTAGTGGCATTTAGGATTCTAAAGACAACAAGCAACCTCAAACATCGAAAAAGTAAAATCATTAGTCTTAAAAAAATACACATCACAAAAAGATTTCTAAGGAATGAGTAGCATGGCATTAAAACAAAAGTGCTTTCTATATATTGTTTGAAAATTTGAAAAAGCCTCGCCCGATGTGGAAACTGTAAACGTCAGTTTCCACAGTCTGCACTGTACCCACTGATGACCGTAGGAACACATTGCTTCAGGACTTTTAAACTTTACAGTGACACAAATCAAGCAGCCTCAGACATTCAAAGCTTCAGCTGACAAGACCTTGAAGTGATGGCAAAGAGGTGGGAATTAATTATTTGGCAAAACAGAGAAGGCTGATAGAATCCAGTTAATTTGGGCGGTATGATGTTTCGGAAAATGAATAACACAAGTGAATGTTGTGTGTGAGGAAGACTGGAATAAGAAGCTGCGAGCCTGTTAACAGTCTTGCATGCGAAGTCTAGCAAGGCGGGCTCAGCAAGAGCTGCCTGCTGTCACTGCACCCAGAGAGAAGAATGGGTCATTTCATTGACAAGGCCATGAAGGCATCCAAGAGTCAGGAAGCCAGGGGGCATCAGGGGCAGTGGTCCCAGCCCGACTGTGACCCAGAGTGACATGGAACTTCCAGCGCCATGTGTCTGCACTTTAACCATTTCTAGCTTTACAGTCAGGGCAGGTCAGAGGGCCCTGGTGCTGTACTCCCTAAAGATATCCCTGAAGACAGCAGAACAAATAGCTCACTGGGCACACCTAACACCTACGTCCGTGGAGGATAACTGCACCACGGTACCATCACTTAGCCCTACGGAGAGCATCAGAGATAAAAACTCCCAAAATCAGAAAATCAGTGTTTGATTAACAAGTACGAGACAGAAAAAATGAAAGTGTGAAACTGTATAAAAGACTGCTTATGTGGCCCACAATGGCTATAACAGCAGTCCAACCCAGAGTTCATCAAAATGTATGATTATATTAGATGGAAGGCATACAGTAACTGTATTTTATTATCTCTTGTAAAATCTACTGTAGTTAACTACTACTTGAAACATTTTGGGATGTAGATTAAATATTAATCTTCCCACTCAGTGATATTGCTTTGGCTTTCCAATCAGAGTAGGGACCAACCTCCCCACACCCACCCTGGCAGTCTAAATACAAAACGATTTCCTGCGGATCGCAAAACTCTGACTCTCTGAAAATCAGATCTATAAATGATACCCTTTTAGTTGTTTTCAGGTCCTCCAAGAATTCATACATTCATATTCACTTAGAACACCTTAGAGTTACCTTGAAAAGTCCAACTGCTTTGTGTTTAAATCTCTCAAAAGCATTATATAGATCTTACCTAAGTAAATTACTCATTCAGACAAATTACTCATTCAGATAAAGGTTTAATTAAGAGTCCCAATTTGGAGCAAATGATACTAGGAACAGGTGTACTCCAGGGCCGTATAATAGCTAAGCATATTTTACTGTAAGTAAAAAAATATATATATATTTTACTGTAAGTGTTTAGTTAAAGCAGCCCAGTTAGCAATGCTGTCGCACAGCTGTTGGGTCTCGAGTTCAAGTCCAGACCAGGGTGCCTTCTGTGTGGAGTTGACACATAATCTCCCTGTGGCCACCTGGTTTTTTCTTCCAGGTGCTTTCTTGCAGCTGGCCTGCCTGTGTATACATGGATTTGTGCCAGATGTTGTGTGTTCTCCAGAAGACTTAACTGACAACTCGCAATCCTCCATGTATCTGTGTGTTCGCGCTCTGCGATGATGGTTCAGCGCCACTTTGTGAGCAATGCCCCTAGGCTAAGCCAAGGACAACCCCAGTCCTTACCTGGAATAAACGGCAAGGTCTTTCTGATTGAGAAAATTGATATTTGCCATACACAAATTCATGCATTAGGAATTTGTCTTTTCACATATCCCAGCTTGCTCTCCATGAGACACACAGACAGGGAGAGAGCACAGGGTCAGCCATTTATATGGTGCCCCTAGAGCAGCTGGGGTTAAGGGCCTTGCTCAGGGGCCCAACAGAGTAGGATTCCTCTGCCATCCACAGGATTTGAACCAGCAAACCTTCCAGCCACAGGCGCAGATCCTTAGCCACAGAGCCACCACTCCATCCCTGGATGGATGGTTAGGTAACCACCTGCCTAATGGCTGTCCTATGCGCAAATGTTGCAATTCAAAATAAATTTTCAATGACGTAAGACATAATAAGATATTTTCATCTTCTAAATGCAGTGTTCCACATAAGGTATTGTAGAGTTTTCCACTGACTTCTTCAAGAAAGAAGCATATTACCTATCCATTTCTAATTCTCCTCCCAAACAAAATACATACAGTCATTTAAACTATGCATAAGGCGATATTAAACAAATATTGATAGAAACAATAGTATTTCATGACTAATAAAACAAACATAATTAAAAGCTGTTCTACCAGCCTTGATCAAGACATAGAGAAGAACATGTTGGCAGCTAGGCCACAGCACAGCACATCGCCAAGTTGTCCTTGTTCACTAATTGCCGCTGTATTCTATGTGTTTTTGCCCTTTATTTCCCCTGTTGTTATGAGCTGGACACAGTTTGTATGTTCGTATTTGTCTAGCACAGCGCAGGGTACTCGTATTAGGTCTTGTAAGCAATGAGAGGTGTGAGAAAGTGGTAACAGCACCTTCAATGTCTGTTTCAAGTGCAGCAGCAGCGCAACTGCCTTGTCACCTGATCTTGTACTGCAGGTTAGAAGCTGAGCAAGGCTAGGTTTGGTCAGTATTGAAATGGGATCTATGGAAAACAAGGCTCCTGCTTTTTAGTTTGAGTGGACCACTAGGTGGTGCTCTTCCTTCTGGACCCGAATTTCCAGACCAGTGTCACAGTATGGTATGAGAGAAGCTGAGTTATAAGAGAAGCACTCCTTCCAACGT